GTATCTTATAATACACATTAAACCCTCATAGCTCTGTTCTGTTCACAGGTTTTATGCTGGACTTCCTGCACGTTGGTCTGTGACCAACAGTCTCGTTCATTCTGAGCATGTGGGTGAACGACATTAAAGGTTGACTCGACTTTTTGTGTGACTGAATGTAAATTGTGTTGATTTTAAATCCAGGATCTTGTAGAACCCCACGTTGCACGGGAGTGAAGCTGCAGAGTCCCCCAGCTTCGTGGAGGGTTTACCCGAGAACCGTGGAAACATTTCTCCGTAACTGACGAGCGACCCCAAGTTCACTCAACACTAATCCAGCTGCTGCACATCTGCTTTTCCTCTGCTGCTCGGCGATAGAAGGAAATGGTTGAGATGACTGTGTTTCCTGTTTATTCACATGGCACTTCCGAACACTAGCTAGCCCGAGGAGCAAGCTAAGCTAACGGCCTGTTTATTGGCGATTGGCGCTCCTTTAATGAATCACTCTTTTATTTTATCGGTATTTACATCTACGCCGTCACGTGTTAAACACTCGTGAGATGAACCAGCCGGTGACAAGCGGACGCTCGTCGACAAACCACCGCGGCTAACAACAGCAAAAGCAGCTAGCACGCGTGACTGCTAGCTTTAGCGTTTAGCGCTAGCCCGTCCATGTGTGTGCGGAGCAGCGATGCGGTGCGGACGGAGGCTGCAGAGTTTCACATTAACACTGATCCACGTCTCCCTGCTGCTGTGCACCGGGGCTCCGCGGCCCGGGGAGGGGTGTGCTGCCGCGGAGGACCAGCAGCAGCAGCGGCAGCAGCGGGGAACCAGCGCCGACACCCTCATGCTGTGCCGGGCGTGCGGACACGAGCTGGCGAACGGGGCAGACATCAGCTTCGTCCCCAGCCGACTGGCGCTGTCCAGCCGCAACCACACGCTGCCCGGGGGCCGGAGGGTGAACGTCCAGCTCTTTGAAAACCCCCACGGGCTCCGGTTCGAGGTGATCACGTTCAGGAGGGCGGACGTTGCTCAGCACTGGCCGGCGGATAAACACTTCTCCTGGTTCCCCGGGTTCTCGTGGACCGCGGCCACCTGTCCCCGGTGTCAGACTCATTTAGGTGGGTACCGACCGTACCGACCTACGTCTGTGGTACCGACCGGGAGCAGCGCTGACTCCAGAAATATTTAATCTTTTATTTTAAACGTTCCATCATGCTGCCGAGAGACACGTGGTTTATCACCATCAACAAACATTTGAATGGAAATAAAATAAAGAGTTGAAGGAGGTTCATCAATCATTCAGATTTTATTTATACAGCCCATATTCACAAATCACTATTTGTCTCTTTTAACTTTTCATAGTTAAAGTTAAAATAGATCTAAATAAATATATTAAAACCAGAAATAGTTCTGTATTGGCCACAAGCTATTAATCAGAATAAATTGAAAACATTAACTCATTAAAGTTCTGCACACGCACATTTATCTTTGGAGATATTCTTATGATTCTCAATATCCCCAGACTGACCTCTTATTTAATTATTGTGTCGGTTCATTGAAATCACATTTGTCACTTACTGTCCCAATTGTGGAGCAAATGGAAATGATCTTGAACGGTGACAATGATCTGCTGGGATCAATGCAACTCATTCAGGACGTAGTATTGTCAATCTTATTCATGTTCATGACAGCTTTATATTTATAATTAATGAAATGACACAGAATAATGCAACTTGCACCAAACATTTGCATTTGTCTGTTTGAGTGAAGCCTTAAAGATCATGAGACTTGAGGTCTTTATTATGGCGTATGTTACTTTGAGCAATAGAGCGGCAGTAATTAATAAGAGAAAATTAACCAACTACTTTTAGAGTTGAATAAATGTATTAATTAATTAAAGCAAAATGCATTTGACTTTTTCTCCAGTTGTGAGGATTTGATGCTTTTATTTCACAAATGATTGTGAATTGAAAGTATTAGAACTTTTGGACAATTGTTGGATATTTTTCAGTCTGATTTATGACATTTGAGAAAATATACTGGTAATGAAAAATAACCATTGTTGAAAATATTTAACACAAAAAATAAAGTAAAGATTTTACATTGAACCTACTCAATTAATTTTTAGAGATATTCAATTTGTAGCTGTAATATTTGTTGTTATAGACTGATCTCTTGATTTTTGAGAAAATAAAAACTTAAGTTGGTTCTAATATTAATCTATGATCAAGAGTCAGAATTTCTGTTGCAAGCAATGAATTTTAAATTTCTTCACCAGGTACAGAAAAAGGCCTTCATGGTTATTTCAACATACACTGCCCAATTTACTGGGATCTGTGTGTTGTATGTTCCATGATGTATTGTGATGCTCATTTATGAACACCTTCATCCCTGTGTGTGTCTCACAGAACTGATTTGTTGTTCTCTCCCTCCAGGATGGGCCTTCCAGCCGAGCGTCTGGCCCGACACCATCACAAAATCTAAATTTGAGGAGTCAGAGCAAACCTTCTTGGCTTTAATCACCCATCGACTGCTGAGTGAAGACTTTGCCTCCAGCCTGCTAATGACTCCGAAATCCTTCACCAGTTGATGGACTCTTGACTGTACAGTTGAACCCAGGTGCCTTCTCTGTGACCCATTTCTTAAAATAAATTTCTATACGCCCACTTACTTTGAAGACTCCCACACGTGTATACACAGTAAGTTTTATTATTGTAACAAAGCAAGTTGTACACCTCAAATTTAAAACAGTGTCTTTTCCCCCCAGCGGAAAAGGAAAGGGTGATTATATGTAAATTCTTTGAGATAACAGGTGGCTTTTTTTTTTTTAAACCCATGAAGCAGTGGGGGCCAAAATTTACAAGCTTGTTTTTTTCCATTTTGTTCTTTATTAAAAATGTCATTTCAAATCTCATGGATATCTGTAAAACAATACAATGAAAAGAAAAAAAAGTCCCATAGAAATGATGTCAAAATAACCACTCTCCCCAATAACCAACATACTCCTGCCCCTCCCCAGCTTACCCCACCCCCGCCCCCTAAACATTACAAGTCAAAGGAATGAGCTGGTACTTGTTAACCACATAGGGGAAAAATAACAGTTTAAGGGACCAACGCCCCAACTAAAAAAATAAAAAATATGGGAAAAAATATTGAGGTCTGCTAGCGCTAGGTCACTACACCATGGCTTTAGTCAATTTACCACACAACCTTAAACAGAAGGAATTCTGTGTGAAGTATCTTCAAATTCTACTCAGGATGCCGTGCTGATACTATTGCAATACTTTTTTTATTATCATTTTTTAGATGACTGTGGGGATGGTACTCATAATTCAGGGCAAAGTGCCATTGGCCTTAAGATGAGTCAAAGGAGAACATAACATGGCACCGACAGGTGAAGAGGCTTCAGAATGGAAAATGAAGCACACACAATAAAAAAAGGGAAAAAAATAAAATAAAAAAAAACTTTGCTCCCGAACATGAGTGGAAAAACCAAACAGGGAATCGAAGGTTGAGGGTCTGGGTTGGTGATGTTATTTCATTAGTCATCTTCTCCCTCGTCATCCTGGAGGAGCAAGTAAATACCAGATTGTCAGTGAATGTTCAGAAATTACTGCCAACATCGTGTGTTTACTTTTATCCCTTTACCTCTCCATCTTCTCCATCATCCTCTTCATCCTCCTCTCCATCTTCATCTCCCTCCTCATCTATGTCCTCCAGACCCTCTTCATCCTCTTCTTCGTCCTCACCTTCACCCTCTTCATCATCCATGTCAGGAACCTGGGGACAACAATCACAGTCAGCACTTCTGTGTTTCGATAGTAGAGGATGTAATAGACTGTTTCCCGTTGTGGAACAGATCAAACACTTCTGCTCATTGTGGGAACAGCATCCAGGGAAATTAACATAGCACTAGATTACGTGCAGTCATAAACACACCAGGTAGTACTGCAGAGGGTTTGGCCAGATGTCGTCCTTGATGACCTCCCCAAGCTCATCAGCGCCAGCGTCGGCATGATCAGTGAACCAAGTGAAGAAGCTCTCCGGCTCTTCATGTTGCCTCTTCCTCCCTGCTTTGTTCTGTGTCTGGCTGGAGCGCTTGGTCAGGTCCTACAAATAAAACAAAATATAAAATGAAGGTTTAACTTCTCAGCACAGGTCACGTTGCTTTGATTCAACTCAAAAGTGGACAATGAGGGACAGTAAAATAGTGCTACCTGAGTGGTTGCAGTTAAAAACAATGGCCTCAGGTGTCACCGCACTTTACTTTTATGACAAAGAGATAAAATGAAAAAAGACCGACATACCTTTCCTGACTTCCATTTGATTTCTGTTGACTTTGAAGATGGGTCTCCGCTCTCGTTCAGATGGAACTCTTTGGAAAGTACTTTGTTTTCGAAGTACGGATTTTCATCGAAATACTAGAAGACAGAACACACTCAGATGAGAACACAAGAAACAACTTCTTCATGGTGTGAGCGTGCAACATTACACAATACTTACAAAATCTATTCTGTAGCCCGACTTGATGTCTTCAAACTCTGTCACCTCCACTCGGCTCAGGTAATGAAGTGCTTCTTCATCTTCCTCTCCCAGTAGGGCAGATACTGCAGAGAAACATGTAACAGAGCAAACATCAACTTCAGTCCTGGTGTATGGTCATGCATACATCACTGTGATCTTAAGGCTTCCATAGACTAAAACACCTCATCTTAAAGTACTCACCTTGTGGATGGTTGACAAACGTGGTGACCCAGAAGTTGGGGATTTTGGCGATCAGTTCTGATCTCTTCTGAAAGAATGGCTGACGGAGTTTGTTGTATTTCTGTTCTACTTTGAGGATCTCCTCACTGGCTTGCTCGTTCAACCTGAAGGGGGAGAACATAGGAGAAAAAAAAAAAAAATCACAAATCAAATTAATTATTCAGGACTGTTCTCATACACACAACGGCTCAAAACTAGAGATTCCCATTCGTATAATTTACACAATATAATAAATTGTATGTATACAGCACTTTTAATACATAACATGCAGCTCAAAAAATAAAATCAAAGATATGAAATAAGCAATAAAACAAAGACTTAGGATAAAAAGTTAAAAATGAAGACAATATTTTCAACATAAGATAAAGTCTTCAACCTACAAGTACAAATATACTTTACCTGTCAATTTCATTCTGAACTTCGTCAATGTGTTCAATAGCTTCTTGCTGCTCTTTCTCTGTGGGACAGAAAAAAAGAGAGAAACGTGTTAAAAAAGGATAAAAGAGAAATTAAAAGCATCATCAATAGAAACTATATTTACATCAAATTTCACATCGAAGGATTTCCTCGTAACAAAACCACGTTTATTTACTTGTTCCCGCTTAAAAAATAAGATATTTATGAATTTCATGTGGGATTTTTCAAAGTATTTCATTAAACCCAGAAACAAGTTCTCCGTTTCTGAAACTCTCCGGGCAACACTCCCCAGTTTCGCGGTAAATAACGGCAGTTGTCCGGACCTGTGGCAGATCGCACACCGGAGCTCCGCCGGAGGTTCGGGCACCGCGAGCGGCCAATGGCTGCAGCTCTAGCGGCTCAGACAGTCACCGTTTCCTGCCGGTTGCTGCCGACGAGGCCGCGTGGTTTAAATGTGGGACATCGGACTGCTCACACACACACGCAGCCGCGATAACGTGCGCACAGATGCCCCGAGAGGACACACAACAGCCCGCTGCCCCCGCAACGAGCTCCCGGGTCCACTCCCCAGAACCCGGGTGAAAATAAAAAACGACCCGCGGGGCCGGTGGATTTAAAACGCATCTTGGTCAAACACAAAACACAACGTCGTGCGCTAGCGTTAGGTAACATCACGACAACAACACTAGCTCGCGAGGAGCTAAAGCCCGAATGAAAGGCGCAAATTCCCCGGTCGTTCGACACAATAACACCGATGGGGGCTCGCGCCGGGTGATGCGGGGCGAATCAGCGCCATCACGCACGAACAATGACCCTCTAGCATCGAAACACGGGGCCACTCGGTCCGCAGCCGTCGACACAGCTGGCCACGCTGGTGATGCTAACTCGGCTAGCTAACATGGCCTCTCAGCACCGGTGTGGACTGAACAAGGAGTAGCGGCATGCTAACGAGCTAACGCTAGCTGCTAGCTAGCTGCTGCCGCCGAAACGGGAACACACGCAGCGGTCTCCCCCGGCGAAGAGAGCGGCTGGCGAGCGGGGGGAAAAAAATTTAAAGAACCAGCCCGCGCAGCGAGTTAGATCCCCGCAGCCCCGTGGCACAAATTCACGTTAGAGAAGAAAGTGAAAATGGCGGTGAACAGGAGGCCGCCATTCTCTCCCTCCCCCCCCCACACATCACCACCACCACCACCGCCACTTACCGGAGGTTTCGTCCGCTCCGTCATGGTTCGAGTTCAGCTCCTTTTTACTCGCTTTCGCCGCCGAGGCCGACATGTTTCCGCACGCTGGGGTTGACCGAGGCACGTCCGAGAGGGTGGCGGTGGATCTGGTTTCTCTCCCCCGAGCAGGAGAGCGCTAATCGGGCGTAAAAGTTCAGCGTGGAGGAGCCGACAACGTGCTGCCTTCCACACAATGACGCTGCCGAGGAGCGAGGAAGTCACGGCCCGCGCCGCTCACGCGCTCCTTTCATTGCGCCGAGCGGAGCGGCGGCGAGCTCCGCCTCTCAAAGTAGGTCCCACTGCGCGGCCCCGAGCTGCGCGTTCGCGGCGCTCAAACCTTCTCCCCAAACCTCCGAATGTGAGTTCGACACAAATCACAGTTAATTGACACGAAGAGAGAGAGAGAGAGAGAAAACGACAACGTCCGGAGAGTTTGTTCGGGGAGACGCTGCAGCTGGACCGACTCACACTGTTCTTCTCTCTGTGTGTTGGACTGAGGGGAAACGATCCGAGGGCTGAGAGTGACTATAACATAATCCCACTGATCCAAAGTGAACAAATTGTTGGTTTCTTTGCCCTAGAATGGTCCCTTTATATTTAAATACTTTATATTTCAATAATTTATATTTCAAATAATTTGTATTTAAATTCTTTATCTCGGTTCAGTGTGTAGAATGTATTTGCATGTTGCGGCTGAACACCCCCTCACCTCACCCTCTCCTCCCAAGCATGAATGTGTGGCAGCTTCAGTTGTCATAAAAACTCAAAAGTGTTTAGTTTGTCCAGTCTGGACTAATGTAAAAAAACATGGCGGCCTCCGTAGAGAGGGTCCATGTAAATATAAAGTATTTAAATATAAAGGGCCTTTTCTGGGGTAAGGAAAACTACAATTCATACAATTTAGATGAAACCAACTAGTGAACACATCATGAGGATTATTCTACATTAAATGTTTGCCAGTAGATCCCTTTCACCTAAATCTTCCACACTGGACCTTTAAATACTTTATATTTACTTCTACGGAGGCCGCCATGTTGTTTTTTTTACAGTATAGCACAGACTGGACGAACTAAACCTTTTGAGTTTTTATTACAACTGAAGATTCTTCAGGTTCTGTTTGGAAGGAGAGGGTGAGGTGACGGGTGTTCAGCTGCAACATGCAACTTCACCACTAGATGTCACTGAGTTCTACACACTGAGCCTTTAAAAAAATGACATTTCAATTTCAAAAAACATTTCCTGTGAACAAGCGCTGTGTTTATTTCATTTTGTTCAAAGTCCACAGAGCATTTCACTTCTCTAATATCAGCGCTGGCACCAAAAAGCCATTTTGTGCTTCCAGACAACTGTTATCTCTACGAGTGTTAATTGTATAATCCAGAGTGTGAAATCCCTCTGACAGACTTAATAAACAGGTTATTTATTGTTAATGTCTGAGTAATAACCACATATATAATATGGGCAGTTATTCAGTGTGTGGGCTGTCATGCTGTTTGCTTAATTATGAGAATATTATGTGTGTCCATGTCCACATGCTTCTCATATTAATGTCGTTCAACTTGAGCTCACAAGTCTCCATTGTCAATAAGACAGCTGAGAGGAGCACGGAGCGGGTTGCATGCATGTCAGCACACACACACAGCAGACCTCCATGTCCAGGATCATGTTCTGTACATCAGCAGCTGCTCCTTCATTTCCTGTCCTCTGCATTCAACGTGCATATCGACTCCATCAGAGGGTTTTTTATTGTCTCTGAAACTCTCTGTCTGGTCTGAGCAGGATAAACAAATCAGCTAAATGCTGCAGACTGTTCTCTGCCCCGTCCCAAACACTGAAGCAGCAGCAGCTCTGTGTTTGTCTTTTGGTTGGTGGCAGCACAGGGACATGTGGTCATGTAGCGACCAATGCCGAGCCCAGAGCAGGCGATCAGCACTGTCAGAGCAGCAGCAGCAGCAGCGCTGGCACTGGAGAGGAACTCTGCCTTCCCCCTGCAGAGAGAAACCCCTCTAGAAGAGAGAGAGAGAGAGAGAGAGAGAGAGAGAGAGAGGAGGAGGGGGTTTGCTTGCAGAGCAGAGGATGAGGATGCACCGTGAAGGGGATGTTGCAGAGGAGGCTGCAGGGAGGCAAAAACAAACAGGAGAACAGGCTGTGTGATCCAGGTCTCAAGATGTAGGAGCTGCATCAGAAGAGCCCTCAGACCAGACTGTGTGTGTGTGTGCGCGTGTGTGCGTGTGTGTGTGTGTGTGTGTGTATGTGTGTGAACGCACCATAACATCAGCAGACTTGTTGTGTGTCAAGGATAGTGAAGGTGGAGAGGCGCAACCTGAGAAGCCCCCCTCCCTCCTGCACTTCCACAGAGGATGAAAGATTAGTCCTTATTCAGCAAGGAGCCTGAGCATCACTCTGAGGTTAGTGAAGTGCAAAGTCATCCTGTTTCCGCCTGATCTGGACCTGCTGTTCTCACTTAGTCCACTTGTTTTCCTCCCATACGGAGCTGAGTTGCATGTGCAGCACTGTCACTGGTGATCTCCTCTGCTCCACTTGTTATGGTAAACTATGGCTGTGTTTTCGTCAGTGTGTTGTGTGTGACTGTGCCTCCTGCAACTGAAGTGTCAGTGGCGATGAAGTCGGGCTTGTTGTCTCTTGATGTGATGTCGTTATCCAGGATCAGATGTTGTCCACAGCTCAGCAGATGCTGCAGGATAGCCGCTCCAAGATCGAGCTGATCCGGCTGCAGATTATCAGAGTCACCCAGGCTGGCAGCAGCAGCAGCGGCGGAGGAGGTGGAGGAGGAGGAGGAGGAGGAGGAGGTGATGATGGTGGTGGTAGCAACCACAACAGCTCCATCAACAGAGGTCAGAGTCCTGTGCCATGCCTCCCTCGGTCACATGTGATACACTGGATCTGAAAAAGCATGAGATAAACTCAAAAGAATTTGTTTATACTTTGGGGACATGACATCTCTGTGTTATTTCAAGCATGAAATGATCTGCTCATCTTATTCTGTAGCAACAACACAACACATCACTGACGAAATGTTGTTGCACATTTTCTAAGTAAAAGTAACAGATAACAACAATTCAGAATTATACAATGATTATACAAGTCTCTGTAGATTATGGTTATTTATGTATTTATTTATATTTTGATATGTGGCAGGATAATTATAGATATCAGTCGATATCTATAATTATCCTGATAAATGTCACATTGTTATTTATTTTAAGTTTTAAGACTTTCAAGATTTTGGCTCCTGGGTGAAGGTTGTGGTTTTAAACTGAGCCGAGAAGCAAACACTTGATAAAAAGCAAAACATTTTACAGATATGAAAAACTATATTGTGATAATCATTGATAATGTTTTATTGCCCAGCGATAACCAGAGTCTATTTCCTTTGCAAGCGTTCAAAGCAAAAATATTTATCCTGTTTCTTTCCTGTTGAGAGAGAATGTGGTTTGAGCATCTTATATATTTTTCAAAGTCAGCAATGTACAGCAAAAAAAACCGAGGTGATTTTAGTGTCAGTCCCTCAAAAACACTTCCTGTGTTCATTATATTTTGTTCATAAAAGGTCAAGTTCACATGAACATTTCAGTTCACTAATATCAGTGCTGGTATCAAAAAGCCATGTTGGTTGGACTGTGCTTCCTGCCAACTGTTATCTCTGTGGGTGTTATTTGCATAATCCAGAAAGTGAAACCACTCTGACAGCATTAATAGAGACACACAGCAAATGTGATGATTAAATTCTAAATTTGAAAACCCTCAAACCAACACTGACAGAAATAACCTCCTGGCTCGAAAGTGAGAGGAGGAAATACGAGACGAGTAACTCTACACCTTGTTTCCTCCGCTCACGTTTCCCATCCCTGACTCTTGACCTCCTTTCTTCTCTTCTATTTCGGACTGCTGGGCCTTGGCAGACGTACGCGCTCACCATGTGCCTTTCTAGTTTCTTGGGAAATAAAAATGTCCCTAAAAACACTCGATCTCTCAATATTCAAGAAAGCGAAAAGGCAATTTCCTCCCTCTTCCCTAGTTTTTTGTGTAATCCTGCAGCAAAGCAGCAATGAAAACATAAATCCCTGGTGGTAATATTTTCCTCTGTACCCCGGACAAACATACAAACATACAGGAAACATGTAACCGTGTTTGCATTGTGTCACTCCTCTGAAATGAATTCCTTCACGCTCAAATATTCAGTTTTCTCTCGCTCTTCGTCCTTTTCCCTCAGGAGTGTCTCCGGTCACTGTCCCTCCTGTGGACGCTCGTCTGGCAGAGCTGCAGCACCTCATGCAGAGAGAGACAGATGCTCTGGTGCTGGCCAAAGATGTGGTGAAGCAGCTGGAAGGGATTTCCTCGCTGGACCAGAAGGCGCTGACCGAGGTGGAACACCTAAATCACTTTATGTGTGAATGTGTCTTAGTGTTCAGAGGAGACAGGAATGATTTTAATGTTTAAACATATAGAGAAAAAGATGCAGGACGACAATAGGAGTGTGAAATTATATTTAATTATTGTTTCAAATGTGAATTCAGTGTAAAAAAAACAACTTGTCTCATTTGACCTTCATTGTAAAATAACCTCTAGCTGTAGAGAACGACGTCTGCTTGGCTGCTGAGATGTTGATAATGATCGATGATGTGTTTTGAAGGCAGATATTTTGAGATCGGAGCTGACACTTTTGAGTCGGCTTCATTTTCTTGTCAAAAAATATTGAAGTGAATCATTGTGAGGGTGGAGAAGCTTCTAAAACAGTCGTTAGATAATAAACACAGTTCAGTGGAAACAGACGGATGATCAGCAGAGTGTGTCTGCTCTTTATAAATCATGTAGAATTAAACACAGAGTTACTGCCGAGTATTTTCCATTACTTTTATTCAGTTCTTGTGGAAAATATAAATAATTTTGCGGCACTGTCGGAGCTTTAGTGTGTAATCAGGTCTGTGTTGTAATATTTTTTAAGCATAATTCTTCTGTGGGAATGAGGTTTTAGTTTAATTTGGAAAGTTTGCTCTGTGTTTGACTTAAATGATCATAGACTGTGGTAGATTCTTCAAGTGTCAGGTGTCAAGTAGATTCTTCAAAATCTAATCATTAGATTTTCAAAGTCACATAAAAGATTTTATGGAAACAGGTTAATTGATTTGTACTAAACTGGCAAATACATCAGTTCCAGGTTCTTCTTGAGATTTTTGTCAGTCCTCTTAAACTATCAGAATTACTCTCAGGGAAAGTGTCTCGCAATTTTTATGAAAGTGATAAAAGAAAATCTTGGATTCTCACCAAAATATAATGATTTAATTCCCTGACTCATACAACATCTTTCCACCAAGTTTCCTGGTAATCTGTTGTGTTGTTGTTGTTGTGTGATCTCGCAACAAACGGACAGACAGACAGACAGAGAGACAGACAGAGAGAGAGACAGACAGAGAGACAGACAGACAGACAGAGAGACGAGTGAAAACTCCTTGAAGGAGGTAAAGAAAGAAAAAGTTGTCAGCCCCACTTAAAGTCTAAATTTAAAAGTCCCAGTTTACGACACAGCATCGCTATATTTAAAAAGACCAAACACAACAATGCAATGTTTATCTTCCCATCAGGCTCAGTCCCGGGTGCACGAGTCCTCCCAGAAGCTGGACCTTCTGCGACTGTCCCTGGAGAAATGCCCGAACGAGAAGAGCCCGGAGCCCGAAACACAGCAGCCTGCAGGGGGCGTCCACCCCTCACAGGGACCCCCTTCCTCCCAACACCAGAGACCTGGATGTCCCCTGTCCACCTCCCCGTCCGTCTTCTCCATCAGACCGGCCTCCTTAACTGGTATCAACACACACTGAATTCTGGAAATACTTTGGTTCAATGTTTAAAGGTCATTGTAATCATTCATTTAACATTTCCATAATAATCTCCAGGAAATAACTGTGTGGTTCTAAATATAGAGAAAGTAGAAATTCCCTTGAATAAAAAAAGCTTAATTTAAACCCAAAATAAATATGAACTCATTATTCTTTTGTTGTATAAACTTAATTATGTATCCACGCTGCGTTGTTTGGCTCTTGGCAGATTTCAATTATCAGCCTGTTCAGCTACACTGGAATTAGTGGTAATTAATTACTTAAATTTGTATTTTCTGTGTAATTTGAACCAGATTATAGATTTTCAGAGGAAATGTTTGCACAGCGGCTCTTTACCTTGTTCTGTAATTATCTGAGATAATAAACAAACTCATTATTCAGTTATTAGGGAAACTTCATTCTAAATCTATGTTGTATTAAATGTTTAGGTGGAAGCAGATTTTAATCATTAGAAGCTGGACTGGAATGAACTGTAATACGTTAATTGGGAGCGAAATTAGAGTAAAACTACAGATATTAACAGAAATTTATATCATGGACGGCCGGTGTCTGATCATGATTTGCCGTACGCTGACCTCTGGCTGTGGATAATCTGGACGTGTAATCTGTTGGTTTTGGACGGTTCAGTTGTAAACCAGTCGCTCAGCAACAGGAAAAAAAAAAGGCTTTTGATGATGTAACGAGGAGACAAATCCTGGAGTTGTTCTGTTGGCAGCGAATAATGAGGACGAGTCTCAGGGCGGTGAAAGACACCGGGGGAGATTTTCTGCTGCACGGCTGTTAGCGCCACAGTGAAATGAAGAAAATGAGGATGTGAAAGCTCCAGACAGCTTCTGATTAGAGGCCTGACTCACAGAGAGTTATTCATGCTGACAAATGAAAGGTTTTTATTTTTTAAATGCTGCATTCACTTTGGTCTTAACTCACCAGAAACACACACGGTTAGTTCTGGAAGGTAGAAGTGCACTTTTTAAGTTCTTAAGTTCTTTCTTTTTTCTTTTTTCAAGGTAAACTTGAAGTGAAGCTCCTCGGATGTGAGGATTTACTGAAACCTCGGACAAACTCAGAGCACGAGAAGTCTGGGGACGGTTCATCAGCTGCTCACAGGACAGAGGGACATCAGGGTCAGTGGACTTTATTGTTCTGGAAGAATTCAGTTTTTGGTTTTACAGTTTTTAACCAATATTTCATCTTGTTAATAATTATCACAATATCATTTTCATCAATAACCACTCAGTAATAGTTAAAGTTCACATTTCCATTCAGTTGAATGTATAATATGTATTTTTTTCCGACCAGTGGGTTTCTAGTGCCGTCTCATCCGTCTCTTTCTGTCCCACAGCAGAGATCAGTGCGGTGCTCAGGCTGGACGGCAGAGTGGTCGGCCGGACACGGTGGGCGGCCGTCAGCAGACTGAGCTGGGATCAGACGTTCTGCATCCAGCTGGAGCGGGTGAGTCCACGGCCACAGACGTGAGGTCAACCAGAGGTCAACCAGACGCTCGGCGATGACGTTGACATGCACATCTAGTAACAGAATCTGAAACACCACAGCCACATAGGGAACAGGATATCTTTCCATCCATCCGTACCTAACCATCACCAACCTCTCCCCCAACATACAACATACATGTCCTTGGACTGATGGAGGAAGCCGTCCATAGACAGACCCTGGCCGAGTTGGGATTTGAACCGAGAACCTCCTTACTGTGTGGGAACAGTGCTTACCTGTGAACAGAGTGTGAAGCAAAATAATCCTGAAGTCTAGCTTCACTCCCACTGCATGATTTTGAAAACTGCTAAAAGCTGGGGAGGCGACTGAGCGATGTCATTGTCACTGTGTCTCTCAGGCCATAAAAAATTAAGGCTGACACAGAATCACCAGGGACGTTTGCAACAGAGGGTTCTGTAGAATTTAAGACTTTTCTCGTCCAGAATTCCCTGAACTGGGCGTTAGTGCGGTTAGAACCACGTCCTGAGTCGATCAGTTCAAGACGTTGGCTCCAGCCCCAGCTACGCCTGAGGCGGGAGCTCTTGTAGCCGAGGCAGCGAGAGTGCAGGGTGGAGCCAGTCTCTGAGTGGTAATATAACATCAGTGTAGGCTAATGTCAGCGAACGTTTGAATAAGTTGTAAAGCTGTGTGATATATATATAGTCCATATTACTCCTCTGCCACGATGCAATTTAATTCCAATAGCCGTGATTCAACCAGTCGAGGACAGTCGATGTGTATATTTACCACACGGAGTGAAAACGTGGTTCAGAGGTTTGAGTTTCTCGTTATTCTCTCTGCAGAGCTTCAAACCAGATCTTACTGTGAAGTTGCTCAAGTGCAAAGAACAAACACATCGTTTCTTCCACCAGGAAATCCCACAAAAGACAAAATGAGCTGAACTAACTGAAGAGCTGAGGTGGACAAAAGTGAAACTGCTTATTGTTCCAGGAAACTGGAGTTAAACTGTTCTTTTAAATCGTTAACTAATTGATGCACATTGAATAACAGAGGCCCCAAACTGCAGTCAATAGTTAAAGTCACTTTTGTTCCTGTAGAAATTAGACAATAGACCGAAGCTCCACCACAGTTCTCCCCTCGTGTGTAAACCCTCTTTACTGCAGCTCAGCTTCCAGCGCCTGTGACTCATTCTTCATGTTCATTCTGATCCACGCCGCCCACGTTCGATTCGTCCTTCCTGTGTTTCTTCTTCCGCCCCCCCCGCCCCTCGATCTTCCTGTTTCTCCCTGAAATCAGTTTTTAATCACGGAAGCACGAAGACGCTGCTGAGATGATGTCACCTCGACCATCGTGACAGGTTATGAACGCCACAAGGTCAAGATCTGTGACGCTGGAGCAGAAACAAACAGCATCAGCAGCTGTGGAATCACCGCTGACGCACGTGTTACAGCAACACAAGGGCACCGTGTAGGACAGACACATCCACGACATATGGAGACCGGACTGTGACAGGATATCTGCTACATAACCTTACAAACATGAAACTAGTACTTTTGTTCATGTACAATTTCTGATCCAACCTGCGTGACCTTTATCACAGCAACTCATAATGTGACTCAGTACTGTGTATGCACCCCCCCCCCTTTCCTGTACGCACACCCAACAACGTCTGGGCACGCTCCCGATGAGTCGGCGGATGGTGTCCTGCAGGATCTCCTCCCAGACCTGGATCAGGGCATCAGTGAGCTCCTGCAGAGTCTGTGGAAGGCAGCACAACGTTCACCACAGCTTCTCCAGACTCACTCACGCCTGTCACACGTGTGAACACACGGCTCTCGTCTGTGAAGAGAACAGGGCGCCACTTAATTCTGCTAGTTCTGGTGTTCTCTGGCAAATCAAGCTGCACGGTGCTGGGCTGTGAGTGCAGGTCCCACTGGAGGACTCTGGGCCCTCATGCGTCCTCATGGAGTCTGTTGGTCAGACACATGCTCACCTGTAGCCTGCTGGAGGTGATTTTGTCAGGTCTTTGCAGTGCTCCTCCTGTTCCTCCTCGCACAAAAGGAGCAGACACCGGTCCTGCTGCCGGGTTGATGCCCGTCTACGGCCCTGTCCAGCTCTCCTTGTGTAACTGCCGGTCTCCTGGTATCTCCTCCAGGCTCTCGAGACTTTGCTGGGAAACACAGCAAACGTTCTCCGCACGTATGGATGGGTCCTCCTGGAGGAGCTGGACTACCTGCGTGACCTGATCGGGCTGCAGATACGGCCTCATGCTGTCAGCAGTGACGAGGACACGAGCAGAACACAAAACTGAAGAAGACTCAGTCAGGAAGGATGAAGAGAGAGCGGCTGTGTGTCAAACACTCACTTTCTGGGGAGTTGTCTTGATTTTGCACCTGTTGTCTCTTTAATTTGCACCAAAGCAGGTGAAACCGATTCATTATCACTTGTTCTTACTACATGGACACGTTGAGACACTGAAGTTTAACTCGCCTGCTGTTCTACTGTGAAGATTAATGTTCCCTTCATGTTTTCGAGCAGTACTTTTTACTTGGTATTTGCAGTTTGTGTAACTTTACACATCTGCCTCACTGTTCATTTAACAGTTATTACAGGTACTAATCACTTATGCAGAAATACTTTATACACAAAACAAACAATCAAATGGTATATAGTCATATATTGTTTTTATATTGTGGTATTTTGTGCTCAGGTTAAAGCAGCTTACATTGTACTTACTTTATGTATATTACATTTATTGTCCTGTACACATTTTACTCGAGTTTACTGCACTTTATTTCTCTTCTACTCTCACAACATTTCAGGGACAGTATACTCTTATACACATTGTACTCTGCATCCTCTGTTATTGTTGTAGTTCAGTGTAAGACCAGAAGGTGTCTCCCTCACACCTGCAGATAAACATTCAGCTCTGAATCCTGTTTATTCTCAGAGCTCAGCTGCAGAACTGTGATCACAGTGAAAACAGGTTTTTATTAAAGTTTCACTCAGATAAAAAACTGTGCAGCCTTTAATATCAGACTGAATTTAAATGAACCAGTTTCGACTAAAGTTAAAAAAAAATGCTGCTTTACCAAACCCAAACTAAACTAAATGCACAAACTAACTCTTATATGAATTTATTTGTCGTTGGTCTCTGAACAGTCTCGAGAGCTGGAGGTCAGTGTCCTCTGGCGGGACCGGAGGGCGATGTGTGCCGTCAAGTTCCTGCGACTGGAGGAGATGCTGGAGAACCAGAACCACCACCAGGGTCTGAGCCTGGAGCCGCAGGGCCTCCTCTACGCCAAGGTGCGAACCACGAGCCGGGGAGTAAAAGCTCCAAGTCTCCTCGGACTTTTTACTCCGAGGGAGAAATAGATTTGATAAACTCCACTGGAGGTCAAAATGATTCAAATCACAATTCTTTTTTTTTTTTTACAGCTTCGGTTCATCGACGCGGTCGTTGAGCCGAAACTGAGACGTCAGCGATGCATCTTCACTAAAGAACGAGGTAAAAAAAACCAAAAAAAAAACCAAACGAGCTGCAGAACCGACGGGTTTCCGTCAGTGGTGGTTTCCCTCCTGCGTGGCGCTGCAGTGAAACGTGTGTCTTTACAGGGAAGAACTTCCTCAGAGCTGCTCAGATGAACATGAACTTCGCCACATGGGGTCACCTGATGATGAGCATCCTCCCCCACTACAGCTCCTTCACCACCTTCAGCTCGTCCCTCTGTGCGACCCCCGACCTGACGGCAACCAGCGGCCCGCGGGCCAACGAGAGGGCGCCCCGGGTCGGCGCTCCACTGCCGGGGTCAGAGGCCAACCGAGCGTGCAGTGAAGCTCCGGTCATCAGACTCAGCATCACCGAGGAGCAGCCTCCGACCTCCAGCCTGCAGCGGAGAGACGAGCCCCCCACCGTCATCACCGCGGAACACATCGACACCTCACCTGCGCCTCCGCTGCAGGAAACACCGGTGAACGATCCCACCTGACATTCATTCACACTTCAGGAGACTTTTTGCATATTTCTATATTTTGTAATATTACAGTTTTTATATAAATACTCACTTGACGATGGGGAAAAAAAAAAGAAAAGAGGAGAAATGTTTGATTTATGATGTGATTTGTGTGAATGACCTGTTTTCTCTTCTTGCAGTCGTCCATGAACAACACAGAGGAAAGTGAAGACCAGCCTGTACCTGCTCTCAAGTAAACACACACACACACACACACACACACAGGTACACACAGGTACACACAGGTACACACACTACAATAATACTGTAACTGACCTGTGTTCATTTTCTCACAAGGATGCACAGGGAGGATTTCAAATATATTTCGGTTCTGGGCCGGGGACACTTCGGGAAGGTAAAGGATTAAAAAGTATTTTTCCCTCGAGCTCGTCACCCTCGATCAAACCTTCCTCTCGTGTTCGTCCTCAGTGGTTTCTCCTCTCCGCAGGTTCTGCTGGCAGAGTTCAAGAAGACAGGCAAACTGTACGCCATCAAAGCCTTGAAGAAAAGAGAGATCGTGACTCGAGATGAAGTGGACAGGTGTGTGGGTCAGTTTATCCAAATCACACTAAGATGGATCATGTGGTTTATCGTGTCTCTCTTTATGGATTCTGTCAAATGACAAAAACAAAAATCAAGTAAGACAATAAATTCAAAACTCGTTTATCTGACCTTCTGGTGACCTTCAGTCTCATGAGTGAGAAAAGGATCTTTGAGATGATCAACGCGTCCCGACATCCGTTCCTGGTCAACCTCCACGGCTGCTTCCAGACCAGCGACCACGTCTGCTTCGTTATGGAGTATTTACCCGGCGGCGACCTCATGATTCACATCCACAACAACGTGTTCACCGAGGCCCAGACCAGGTCCGTGAGTCGTCCTGTTGCTCAGAGATAATCCACATTTTTATGTTTGGGGGGGGGGAAATGCTTGTGATTGAAACTGAGTTCAGTTCAGTGTTATAATCTAAAACCTGTCGTTGTTGTGTTCAGGTTTTATTCAGCGTGTGTTCTTTTGGGTTTAGAGTTCCTGCACCTGAATAAAATCATCTATCGGTAAGTGGCGACTGAAGTTCCCGCAAAACGTTGTGTAGCTTCCGGTTTGAATCCTCATCACACTTTGTGTTTGTCTCAGAGATCTGAAGCTCGACAACTTGCTGATGGACGCTGATGGATTTGTGAAAATCACAGACTTTGGACTTTGTAAAGAAGGTGATTTGATTTTAACACACCAACAGCTGCAAAGACTCCAGCTGCCACTCAAGTTTGACTTTAAGATTCAGTGTGTTGAGTTTATAAGTGATTGTTTTGAATTTTAAATTGTTTCTAATGTTTTTGTTTGCAGGAAAATAAGAAAATCGCGAAATTCATTTTGTTTACAGACCATTAACGACGCCTGCACACTTACACATATGTATGATTTTAAACTAGTAAACTTCAGAACACGTATGTGCATACGAAGATATACAGACAAGACAAAAAACTTAAAACCTAAAAATAAATGTACCTGTTATCAACAAATGAAAGTTCAAGTCCTAACGAGAAGTAAATTAAACAAATTAAACAATTAAACAATTATTGCAGTGGCTCAAATCAGTGAGTTAATAAAAAAGATGGTGCAGAGGTAACAAGACAGACAACCTTCTTTCGACAGGGATGGGTCACGGAGATCGGACCTCGACCTTCTGCGGGACCCCGGAGTTTCTGGCCCCCGAGGTCCTGACAGACGACAACTACACCCGAGCGGTGGACTGGTGGGGGATGGGTGTCCTGATCTACGAGATGCTTGTGGGCGAGGTTGTTAACGCGAGTTCGACTCAATTACAAGCTGTTGATCAATGTTCGTGTTGACCCTGAAGTTCAGATCACAAAACATGACGACAAATTACAAAATTCATGTTGATTTAAATAATAGAAATGAGAGTTTTTCAGTTTCTGGTATTTGTTCTGATATTGTGTTGTTTGTATGATGTTAGTTTTGTGTTTATTGAAATCCTGATGAAACTATAAGAAATTTAAACCAGATAAATGACTTTACCTCCTGATAGTCTCCGTTCCCTGGTGAGGATGAGGAGGAGGTGTTTGACAGCATCGTCAACGATGACGTTCAGTATCCCACTTCTCTTCCTCCTGACGCCGTCTCCATCATCCAGAAGGTATCGAGCCACGAGCACGTCAGCAGCAAATAGTCAGACAAAGTTTCTCACCATGACTTTATATTTGTGTCTGATGTTTCATCCATTTGAGTTCAGCTTCACGTTACTTTGTGTTTTCAACATAAACGAACCAGGTTTGTTTTCTGCAGCTGCTGAAGAGAAATCCTCTGAAGAGACTCGGAGCTGGAGAGAGAGACGCCAACGAGTTGAAGGGAGAGAAATTCTTTGAGGTGAATCACTTTGTGTTTTCTCTAAATTAAACTTTCAACTTCTTTGAAAAGTTATAATGTTAAAGTCAATCTGCCTTTAGATCCTATTTCTTACCTGAATCTGATTTGCTGTAACACCTGAACTGATCAATCAAGGATCATCTTATCTTAATAAAGTTCAATTTGTGAAACTGTGAAACTAGAAAAAGGCACAAAATTCAAACACAACAACCAAAAAAACATGAAAAATCTAAATGTGTTGTCGTCTTTGTGAATCTGTGTCTCGCAGCCCATCGACTGGGAGGCCCTGTTGGCCAAGAAGGTCAAACCTCCGTTCCTGCCGTCAATCACAGAGTCCATGGACGTCAGCAACTTCGACAGCGAGTTCACTCGACTGCAGCCGATCCTGTCGCCTCCCTGCAAACCCTCCGGCCTCTCTGCCGAGCAGCAGGAGGCCTTCGCAGACTTCGACTTCTGCGCCTTGCACGGATGACAGACGAGCGGAGGAGGGAAACAAACTGTTATTATGAGGCTGAGGCGTTCGTCCACATTGGCGAGTAACCAACCATCTTCACCGAGGTAGAACTGATCTCCTAATTATCTTCAGTAGAAACATTAAAGTGCGTCTGGTTTCACTTTGAGCAAACACTTGGACCTTTTACATCTTTTGCTCTATTAGTTGATTAATGAGTCAGATGACATCAAATCAATCCAGGACAGTTTAAATATTTGCCTTTCCTTCATTTTTCTCAGCAGCTATTTTGACGTGAAATTAAAAGTAAACACCAGAGTCAAGGTTCTGTACCCGAACACAACTGATGTTCTTGATGAATGTGTTTCCTTACACGTGTGTTCACCTAATATCACGTGTCAAAATGGCTGCCGTCGGGACTCGGGTAACACGTACCAGTCGTTAGTTTTTTGACAGACCTTCAATTCCTTCGGAGTACAGTGAAGTACGCAGTGTACTGAATATAACACATGAGCACTTCATCCTCTGCAGCAGTAGAAAACTTCACCCAACTGCCACTTGAAGAAAGTTTCCCGCTCTGGTCTTGAGACGCCTCACGCGATCTCCATGGCTGACTCCACCGACTGTTGAACGTCTCTCATCCCGTCGACACCGGGTCGTCGATCAGGCAGCTTCTCCTTCTTTCTGTTTCTTTTCGAACAAAGACGGTGATTGTAGATCTTTATATTCTCTTTATATGTCGTCGTCTGCTCCTGATGCTGAAAACTCATTCACGAGACGAGTTCAGGTGAAACGTACAGACAGAGGAAAAGCTTGAGGAGTTTACATCGGTTTCTGCTCCTTCATTCAACATCTTTATTCCTTCTTGGATTTTTATTTCAGTCCTGGAGTTAAATTCACCGGGTTTCACAGTCCTGTGGTTGACCGTCTCCTCCAGACTCATATGAGGTCACCGTGACCTTTGATTTCTAATCTGTGAGTCAACATTTATACCAAACGTTAAAGGACCTTTGACTCATCTCCCAAATTCTAATCCGTTCATCTTGAGTCAAACTTGACGTTTGTACCGGATTTGAAGAAATTCCCTGAAGGTGTCCCTGAGATATCGTGTTCACGAGAATGAGGTGGACGGACGGACAACCCAAGGACGTGATGGCTCCGGCCTCTGGGTTTGATTTGTTTTATTTCCATTCTTCCGAATATACGAAACTCTTCGAGGCTCCTGTGAGTTGGAGACTCCGCTTGCTTTGTGGCCTTTGCTTATTAAGTTGATTTGAATCGTTCAGAGGGTTAGTTGCCGTTTCTATGCATCACTGTGACAGGCTCCGCCCACTGCCTTGACCAAACACACACACACACACAACAAGAAAACACACTTTGAAAATATATGTTCTCATAAAAAAAAAAAAAAAAAAGAAAAAGAAAAGTTCAATCCAACATGTCGTCATTCCGTCGTAGCAAAGACGAGCTGTTCACATATCAGTCTCCTGCAGACCAACTGTTTTCTGTCACGACAGTAGAAGTGCATGGCACTGTGGTGAACGTGTGCACTAGGAATCCTGTAATCGCTAGCGGTCTAAAAGAAGCCATAGAGAATCTAACATAGCCATAATAGTAAGAGATATCTGTATTTTCAACTTAGCAAATCATATTCTGTGATACAGAGCTGTAACGATGTCAGTGCATTAGAAGAGGAGGAAGAGGAAGATGAAGATGAACCCTCTCGTTACGTAGACGGGCTCAAAATGATCATTTAGTTTCCAGTTGGTTGTCGATGTTTTTCGAAGACGCAGCCGAGTTTGAAAGCGTCGACGCTGCAGGAGAGCCGAGGGAGGGTTTGAGGGTTTGAAGGGGAAACAGGACTTTAAAGAGTAACTTGTAATTTAATACACGTTTTTTAAATTAGTAAAGTTTGTACCTTTTACTAATTATCAGGAAAATTGAGCAAGAGTCCGAAGCTGCAGTTTGTGATAATTTGTCTGAGTTTTAAATTCAGTTAACAAGTGAAACACAGTTCATATCATCGAGTTTCTCAGAAAGACGAATAAAATGTACGTATCATTAAATTCTTTTGCTGCTCGGTAACAAGTACGTTTGAGTTTGATCAATGTTTTTGCTGCAGTTTGTTTCAAACTGATGATTATGAACAATTAACACTTTCAGCTCTTTAAGACCTGAACATATTTCTTTACCTACTTTCCACAGAACCGACCTGTAGAATAAAAGAACTCGATGTGGAACAGTTTCCATTTAAACAGGATTTAAGAGAATTTATTCATCTTTCTATGAAACTTTGATTGAAACTGAACTTTTTAAAACTCAAATAAAACAAGCGGGTTCTTAAAAAGTGCAGCATCTCATACTTGCTGCTCCATTTCCATGACCGTCAGCATAAAACTGTGTAGATCTCTATTTGACAAGTGTTTTGAATATTTAAAGACGGTGTATTCAAGCTACAAGTTGCTCTTTAGTCCAGAGTGTCCCCTCGTGTCCCCTGCTGAAGTGTCCACGAGCAGGACGCTGAACCGTCCGCCTGCTCTGGAGGAGACGTAACACGACAACCAACAGTCACTGGTTTAGCTGTTGTAGCACTTTATGTTAATGCTGCTGAATATTACATGTTACTTGTGTGTCTGTATTAATGTGTAAAAGCATCCTGACCTGGACTGTCAGCGTGTGTAATCTATTACATGTGTATCATCAGTGTTTTAATGTACTCTCGTTGTCAATAAATACAAACCGAACAAATACTGTAAAAACTATTGTAAGAGACTTGGTTCTATCTGGTAGTTAAATTATAAAAACAAGAGTCAGTGAGGTCAGGCCGGATTCGGGGCGTGTCTCTTGTAGACCTGCTCCCACACCACCGTCCTGCAGATGCAGAAGAAGTCCCGCAGGTTGCAGAAGACGCCGCGGTCGAACGGGTTCTCCTCGTACTCGCAGTTCTTCAGGTACGAGATCCGGTGACGTGACATGAACTCCCAGGTGGTGCAGTTGATGGCCGCCAGGTAGAGGTGGCAGCCCAGCAGCATCACGGTCACCACGGAGAAAACCCCCGCGACGAGCAGCGCCGCCAGCAGGAACCCGTTCACCCGGAACCACAGCTCCCACGTGACGCCGGGTGAAATCCCCGACCTGAAAGATTTACACGATAGAGTGAGGAGGTGGTACTTAAAGATGGACGACGGGACAGCGCCACAAAGGTTGAGCCAAATAATCTCGATTCCCAAGATTGATTAGCTAAACAGAGATTAGTCGGTCACTTTCCTGACTTTTCTCAAAATCTCAGCTGTTTCCTAACTTCTCAGAATGTTGCAGAGATAAAAGATTTCACACTCGACACATGAAAAATTTGGGCTGAGGCTGCGTTTCCCCGCCAGATAAGAATGTTCTCATATCTTAAAGACGACAGACAGAGCAGGAGTCAGCAGACGTACAGAGCGATGTGAAGAGCCCACAGCAGAGCGAGCAGCTGCACCAGCAGGTACACGAGGAACCAGCGGTGGTTCCGCTCCCCGACGCAGTTCTCGATCCAGGGACAGTGGTGGTCGAAGCGACGGACGCAGCGTTTACACGTCTGACAGTGTTTCGCTCTCATCGGTTGCTGCAAGACAGAGAAACAGAGAGAGACACAGTCAACTTCAATTCTGTGTCAGCATTTGATCAAACTGTGAAAAGTAAAACTTTGAGTTTAAGCAAAATGTAAAAATATAAAACTACAATATAAAATATAAAACTAGTTCAGGTCTTGTGACGGACGAACAACAAAATACCTCCAGTATTTCACTTTCACTCTAAA